CTTGGGCCCCTGAGCACATGGATAATTAGGCAGTGTAATTATCTAAACCATTAACAAGATGCCAGGCCTACCTGAATTTAAGCCAAAATGCACCGTGTTTACTAGAAAGGAATTTCAAAGAGCAAGACCATCTTTCATTATTATCCTGGGTGTTTGAGTTGGAAGTGCTTGGAGAGAATTAACTTCTAACCTCCCACATTACAGAGGAAGAGACTGGGACCATGCGTGTGTGCGTGTGTGCGTGCATGTGTGTGTGTTCATACATGTTTTGCAAGTGTGTGGGTGTGTGTGCATGTGGAGGCCCAAAGTTGATGTCAGGAATCATCCTCAATCATTCTTCCATCTTCTTCATTGAGTCAGGGTCTCTCAATCAAACCCAGAGCTCAACAATGGCTAGTCTTACTAGCCAGCTTGTTGTAGGTGTGTCGTATTTGTTTTCTGAGGCTGGAATTATAGGGATGCTAGCACACACACATACACACTCTCTCTCCCTCACACACACACTCACATGTATACACATCCACTCTCTCTTTCACACACACACACACATACACACACACACACTCTCTCTCTGTCTCTCTGTCTCTTTATCTCTCTCTGTCTCTGTCTCTGTCTCTGTCTCTCTCTCTCTCTCTCTCTCTCTCTCTCTCTCACTCGCCTGGCAAGTGCTTTAACTACTGAGCCATCTTCCAGGCTCTCTTGCTTGGAGTATTACAGCACAACAGCTGTAGGCTCAAGGCAAAACTTTGGTTATCCGTTTCTAAAGAGATGTTAAAATTTAGAAAATATTCCTCACCAGCTCGTTATGTCATCAAATGAGAAGATATATATGGAAGTGCTATTAAAACATTAGGCATATTTAATAGAAATTGAGCAGATACTTCATCTTTCTACTTCCCAATTTCTCCAACTGTGCAATAGGCATAAATAATATTCATTCTTCTCATCAGGTTGAGTGAGGACTAACTTAAAATTTGCCAATAGCCTGGGCTAGAACTCTAGGTACTACGTGCACCATGCATGCTAACTCTTACGTTGAACCTCACACTCAAAGGAACCTTCAAGTAGGTCCTTCTATTTGACTGATAAAGGCTAATTAAGTGATTAACTTAATCCACTTCAATTTGTCCTATTGGGAACTCTTTCAGAAGTAAGACCTTACTATCTTGTTTTTAAAAAATATATACTTATATGTGTATGAGTGTTGCCTGCACATATGAGTGTGTGCTATACGTGTGCAAAGTGCCTATAGGCCAGAAGGCATCAGATTCTCTGGAACTGGGGTTAAGGTGGCTGTCAACTACCACACAGGTATTGGGAACAGATCCTATTTCCTCTGAAAAAACCCCCACCAGTGGTCCTAACAGCTGAGCCAGCTCTCCAGCCCCCAATGGCCTGGCCTGTTTGAAATTATTTTTTATTTATTCTTTGAGAATTTCATACAGTATATTTTGATCATATTCCTTTCCTTCCCCTAACTCTTCCCAGATCACCCCGCCCCCTTCACGTTCTTTCTCTGGGAATAGTGGCTTCTGTCATTGTGGGAAATGGGAGCCTGGCTGGGTTATCTGTGTGAGCAGGTGGCCTGAGACATCGTGGTATGGTGTGTAGTTGTTTGTGGTCCTTGCTCTGGTGAAGTGCACCCAGGTGCTCCTCTTCCTGCTTTTGGGCATGTATTTACTCAATTGTAAAGAGGCTGAGTGGATAGCCTGTGGATAGCCTGGGTCTGGTTTAGATGTCTTTGGAAGTTGAAGCCGTCAGACAACTTCTTATTGAGCTCCTAGAAGAGTGTCCAGCTGGTCCCTCACTTAGGACGCCCTCACTTGTAGCTTTTGACTTTCTGATGGTCTGAGATGGCACACGACCGTTCTGCTTTTTACTTTCCAAGCGCTTACTGTATTGAACACGCGACCTCAGATCTCAGCACTCTGTTACAAAGCAGGCTTCTGAGCTCAATTAAGGACGACCAGGCAAAGGTAGGTAAGTCAGTGTATGAGATGCATTTTGCACTGGAATATATTCCAACTTAAGACGTGCTTATCCGGACGTAACCCCTTTGTAAGTTGAGGAGCAAAAGCTAAGTCTGAAGAATCCTGAGTTCAAGGGCAAATTTATGTGATCTTGGGTGAGTTGTTTAATTGATCTGAGCTTTAGTTTTTCTTTTCATGTGTAGAGTTGGTTGGCGCGAAGGTTCAAGCAGATAATGAACATAAACTACTTAGCACTGCTTGTCACCTCCTTGAGTTCTTCCTGGTAGGGACTGGATATTGTAAAAACCACCAGAAAGTCTTGGTGTCTAAAGTGACCCACCCCACATCACCTGTCACTGGATATTTCTCTCCCACCCACCAATTCCCAATTAACTACTCAGAGGCTTAATATGATTTATAAATGCTCAACCAATAGTTCAGGCTTGTTACTAGCTAACTCTTACACTTAAATTAGCCCATATTCCTTAACTATGTTCTGCCAGGCGACTTGTGGCTTGGTACCTCATTTCTATACATCCTGCTTCTCCAGTGAGGTGCTGGCATCTCCTGACTCCGCCTCTCTTCATCCCAGCATTCTCTCTGTGTCTGGCTCTCCAGCCTATACTTTCTGTCTGGCCACCGGCCTGTCAGCTACTTATTAACCAACGAGAATAATATATATATATATTCACAGCGTCCAGAAGGATTATTCTACCTTCTTTCTTCTATTTTCTTTGTCTTTTCTTTTGAAGTCAAGTACAAAGATTTGAGTAGCTATACATTCTGTTGGATCGTGTTGGTAAATCAAGAATCACCTCTCTTCCCACTTTCTCCATCTATGTAATTCCAAGGACAGGATTTTTTTTTACGAGACAGGGTTTCTCTGTTTTGGAGGCTGTCGGTCCAGCCTGGCCTCGAACTTACAGAGATCCACCTCCCTCTGCCTCCCGAGTGCTGGGATTAAAGGCGTGCGCCACCAACGCCTGGCTCCAAGGACAGGATTTGTAAGGAGCCTTCAGGACATCAGGCGACACTTGTCTCTAGAAACCGTGCTCTGAGGGAAGGAATCAGTGTGGTTTCCCAGGAGCTAGTTATCATTCTCTGGCCATAATGCGAGCTTAGTTCTGGGAGGTCCTGGAGAGACAATGCCCACCCAAAGCAGAAGCAGCGTCGTCAGAAAGAGAAAAACACGGCCCAGCACCCCACTTTATCTGGTTCCATCAGAGGATGTGTTTTTCTTGGAGATAAATTAAAAAGAAGCAACCACACCATCCACACAAAGTAAGTAGCAATACAACCTTCTGTGCACATACGTTTCTTGGTAACCTGACAAGGGAGGCTTCAGAGTCACGTGTGTCACCCATTAGACATGCCATAAAAAGACACCAAGAGTGTGGAGAACTTGGCCATGGGTTAATGATGACGTGTTTACAAGGCTGAGTAAGTGCTTTTCAACGCCTGTTTCTCCAGGCGTGGCTGCAGGGAGGCAACCTAGATAACGTCCTGTTTGGTCTCCTGGAGAGGAGTGGGGGAAAGGGGTGGCAGGAGATGCAGATGTTTACCGCAGATGTTTACCTGGTGCCTGCAGAGTAGGTGGACCCGTGAGCTTGAAGGAGAGTGCCAGTCCCTTCCCGCAGCATTTTAGCTCAGGGTCATGGTGTTTGTGGGCAGTGGTCTTCCTGGAAAGGGGGCCTTGGAGGGTTTCATGAAATTCCAGGCTGGAGTTCTAGACCATCGAGCCCTTGGGACGTTGGTAACAAAGCTCTTCTTGCCTTCCATTGCTGTTGGGTCTCCATACGTAGCTTCCGGTCCTCCCAGACTCAAACTTTGCCTTCTGGTGGTCTTCCTCATTGCTGACCATCCAGTCCTTCTAACAGCACGCTTCTCTGGGGTTTCTGCCTTAACCATCTTCATATTCATTGAGTTCATTCATTTGACAGCTAATGACATCACCTCAGTATTAGTGATAGCGTATGGTGAGTACTTCTACAGGCTTGTTGGTAGGTGTTTTACAAACCCAGAGACAGATTGTGTGTGTGTGTGTGTGTGTGTGTGTGTGTGTGTAATTTTATTTATTTATTTGTTTTAGACAGGGCCTCACTGTGTAGCTGTGGCTGGCCTGGAAGTCACTATTTAGCTTCAAACTCACAGAAATCAACTTGCCTCTGTCACCTTGAATGCTAGGATTACAGGACTGAGTCACACGCCTTCTGGCAATATTCTTACCTATTTTCATGAGAGAAGACAAAGTCTCTGTTTGGTTACTTGACATTCTTAGTCTGTAACAAAATGTTTTCAACTGGGTAATTTATAAAGAAAGGTAATTTATTCCTCACAGTCCTAGAGTCTGGGAAATCCAAGATCAAGGCCTGGCAGCTTCAGTGACTGGCTGGTGAGCCTGCCTTCCACTGCAAAGATGGTGGCCTGTGGCTGTGGCCTCATGTCGTGGAAGGGAAAGGAGAAACTTCCCCTTGTGTGCTCTAGGATAGGTACTTATTCCATCCACGAGAGAGGAGCCCCACAGGTCAGTCTTCTCCTAAAGACCCCGTCTCTCCATGCTGTGGCTTTGCAAAGTGCTTTTCAATGTGAATTTTGTGGGCACACAAATACTTAAGCTAGTCATATGGTGAGTCAGAAAGTAAGTGTGTGTGTGTGTGTATGTGTGTGTGAGTGTGTATGTGTGGTTATGTATGTGTATGGGTAGGAGGGTTTGTGTGTGTGTGTGTGTGTGTGTGTGTGTGTGTGTGTGTGTGTGTGTGGAATCCAGATGACAACCTTGATGTCGTTCCTTTTTTTTGAGACTGGCTCTCTTACTGGCCTGGAACTCAACACGTAGAGTAGGCTGGCTGGTCAGCAAGTCCCAGGATCTGCCTTGTCTGCCTTCCTAGTTCTGGGATTTTGTCTACCCCTCTCTCCTTCCCCTCCCCTCCCTTCCCCTCCCCTCCCCCTCTCCCCTCCTGACTTCTTCTTTCTCATCCCTTTCTTCCCTCCTTTCACTCATCCATTAACGTGTGTTCTGGGGATTTAACTCGGGTCCTCCTGCTCTAAAGACAAGGGCTTTACTGACTGAGTCATCTCCTTAGCCTCAGAGCCAGCATTTAACCCCAGAGCCTCTCCCTCTGCAGGAACTGGACTCAGTCTCACGCTCTGCCCTCTGTGGTCAGGGACTTTCCTCACAGCAAAGTCACATAAAAACTTGACAAGATAGACCAAGGCGGGGCTCTTGGCCGCACCCATCACATGCTGGCCGCGAGTCACCCACTGCCAGGAATGGCCAGGTGAGTTTTCTTTCTTAATGGATTCACTGCAACTGGGTTGTGTTTGAGCGAGTGCCTTCTTGCTGTAAACAAGACCTTGCACAACTAACTGCTGCTCCCCGATTTTGAGCGGTATGGGAGATGGAGCCTCCTTGGGAGTTTGGTTAGGGTTAAAGGAGAAATGGTGACAAGCGCTTGGGAGGTTCTACGGCAATGACAGTGACTCATGCTTTGGAGTTTGCTTCCAGCCAAGACTATGGGGACCACCTTCTCATTTCATCAGAGATACTGGAAGACACCAGGACCCAGGCCAGTCTTACAGGAAAAAGCATCTAGTTCTTCTAGCTGGGCTCAAAGCAAGCTATTTGTTCCCAAGTCTTCTTTCTCCCACAAGAGATTTGGAGACCTGCGGTTACCTGGGGATGTTGGTTAGTGTCCCACGGAGATGCAAAGGGACAGGAGAAGGACAATTGCCATGACATTTTAGATGTGGGACTTCACAGCTATCCCACGACTGCAAAGCTGGGACTCTCCCCTTCGGGGAGAAGTCTCGTATCTTCAAGGTACTAGTGGCTGCCCATCCAAGTCAAGTTAAGGAAAATCAAGGGAGCAGAGGGAAATTATTGGCTCAAGTCCGTGAGAAGACCGGGGTGGACCAGGCTTGTGGCACAGCTGACTTCTGTGTCACTCTCTTTCCCTTTCATATCCTTGCTCCCACCGCCTGGCTTTAATGGCCCGGGGACTTCCATGCGACAAAGATAGCCCCCGGTGCTTCCCGGTTGTCACCAGAGAAACAAAGAAACAAGTAAGCAAACAAACAAAAACCTCGAAGGGTTTCAGGGCCAAATATCTGACAAGACACCGGGAAGGAAGTGTAGTGGGAATCTGTAGCGTAGTGGGAATCCACAGCGTAGTGGGAATTCGTAGCGTAGTGGGAATCCACAGCGTAGTGGGAATTCATAGCGTAGTGGGAATTCATAGCGTAGTGGGAATTCATAGCGTAGTGGGATTTTGTAGCGTGATTTCGTAGCATAGTGGGAATCTGCAGCGTAGTGGGAATCCGCAGCATAGTGGGAATTCATAGCGTAGTGGGAATTCGTAGCGTAGTGGGAATTTGTAGTGTAGTGGGAATCCGTACCGTAGTGGAAATCTGTCCTGAGTGCAGCTGGAGCAGGGTCTGGAAACCCTTGGGCATCTCTTCTGTTCTGTTGCTGGACCTGTGTGTCCCTTGGGCCACCGGGATGAAGGCAAAAGCTGCAGAAGCTAGAGGCATTAACGGGAGGAGCAGAGTCTCAAGGCCAGCCTTGGGATTGTTTGTTTGTTTGCTTGTTTCGAGGCAGGGTTTCTCTGTGCCTCTGGAGGCTGTCCTGGAACTAGCTCTGTAGACCAGACTGGTCTTGAACTCACAGAGATCCGCCTGCCTCTGCCCACCGAGTGCTGGGATTAAAGGCGTGCACCACCACCATCCGGCCCAGCCTTGGAATTTTTAACTGCACATTTTGAGTAAGAAATAAACTTCTATCTTCTTCAAGCCTCTGTTATTTTGAGTGTGTGCAAAACTCGTAGCTGGGGCAATCCCGATGGGCGGAGAAATTAAAGGCTCTGGTGCAGTTTAAAGAGTCTCGACAGTGTGCCTTCCACACGGAAAGAGAGAGCATCTCTGTGGTGTGCAGCGATTGGTCAGAAGTCTGTCCAGCAGCTTTCCCATTGGATGACGTGGTATACCAGCCCTCACCTCTGTCCTGTCTCTTGCCTTTGTCACTGGTGTCTATTTTTAGGCAACTGCTCTGTAGCCATTCTGAGTTGGCTTGACCCTGTGACTCTCTGGACTCTGCATGGCCTGGAAGAATCAGCCTTGACCTACCTCCGGCCGTTCGAAACTCCCTATTCCCGACATTGCCTGGCCTCCCCATATATCGTACCCAGAGAAAGCACACTAAGAACTCCTTTCTCTCTCTTTTGAGGTAAGTTCTTCATATGTATATCAGGCTTGTCTCGAGCCCTCCATCCTCCTGACTCCACCTCCTGAGTGCTGAGATTAAAGGTACATGTCATTAGCATTTAATAGCATAGAAGACCCTAACATGGTGTGTCATTTCAGATGACATCATACTTCTGTTCACTGAGAACTAAACCTAGGACAGCCAAATCAACGCCTAATCTTTGCCTTCATCTAATTACCAGACATGAGGATGCATGTGTCGCTGTCACTTCTGCAAGTCGGGAAAGCCGCATTAGCAGAGAAGTTAACTGACTGAAGGCCCCTAGCTTCGAAGTGTCAGAGCTGGCGTGTAAACCAGGCAGTGTGGTTCTGAGGCTCATGCGGTGACATTACCTGTGTCACTCGGCTCAGCTACTTTCATCGCCCGAGTGGCACTTAGGAAAATGTTGAGACAGTTGTGGTAGTGGCCCAGGGCTGCCGTGCGTGGCTGCGTGGACTCTGCACACACAGTGCGGTTGTACGGTGTGGCCGTGCACACTGTCATCGTGTTATTGCACTCTGGAGTTGTGTGGTGTCGTTGTATGTGGTCACTCAGGGCCTGGGCAAACCAGGACCAAGAGGTCACAGAGAAATGTCAGGAGCGCTTGTCCCCTCAGTGAGAAAGTTAGGCAATTGTTCTTTCCAAAGTCACCTGCACTGGGGTTTGGGTCTATGGCTGTTCTGGGTGCTGAATGGACCCTAGGCCACCTGACACATGTTTCCTCCACCCTCCGTCCGTCCGTCCATCCCTCCCTCCCTCCCTCTGTCCCTCTGTCCCTCCCTCCCTCCATCATTTTCTCTTTCTGACAGGGCCTCACTACACAAAGCCAAGCTGGCCACGAACTTGTGGCGTCCTCTTACCTCAGCCTCCTAAGGGCTGGGATTACAGACATAAGCCACCGCATTGGTCTCGTCTTTGTGGAAAATGACCCTGCACGAGGCACATACCTCTGGGAGACAGAGCCGTGAGTAGTCCCCACAAATAGGCGACCAAGGTGCACAGTATCCTTGACCCTGGCTATGACCACATAGAGCCGTGACACCTAATCTGCGTACAGAGTGTCCCATCCACCCAGCATGTTAGTACTGCCTTTTTCTCCCAGCCCATGGTTACTAGGACTGCAAGATGTTTAAAATTTCATCTAAGAATTTAGACAGGGAGCAGTGTTGCACACCTACTGACCTCCTAAACTATAGGCGTAGGAACCAGGATTCACCAGACTCAGCATAGAATGAAGTGGAGTTTATTTGGGGAAGAAGAACTTAACACAGGAAACAAGTGACTGTCGCTCTGATTCCAAGGATGCAGACCCTGCTACCCTGATGCTCTCTCTGCAACCTGAAGGGGCTCTGAGCCCCAGTCCAATTCCTTTTAACTGGTCATGTCCACACCTGTGGCCATGTCCAAAAGGGCATGGTCTGTGCTACAGGTGAGGAAGTGGATATTGCTACAATTCCCCTTTTAGTCTAAAGAAGATTTAGGCTTGATACAAAACTATATACAGTGATAGCAAATATCAAGTGTGCTCTAGGAGATGGAAAGGTAAAAACACACACAAATTAAGACCTTTTTACCAGTGAAGCAACATTGAGCAATTGACATGAACTACTCTAAACCGTGTTGGTTCCTTTGGTCCAGTGTGGGTTGCTGTTGATAGTTCTCTGTTCACAACAGTGTCTGGTTAGGGGGAGGTCATGTCTCTACAGATGCTGGAGCAAGAAGGATCTTAAAGTAATCTGACCCTTTATCCTATAAAAGAGGAAATATGAACTCTAAGGTCACCAGAGATCATGGAGCTATTGACTGCTAATCAGGCTTCGAACCCAAGTCCTCTGATTTTTGGTTCTCTTTTCTTTCACTTACAACATATGTGACTTCACATATGGTCTCAGCTCCATCATTCACTGTGCGGTTTTTAATCTGATATTTAACCTTGGATCATCTGAAATACAAACAATCTCAGCTACTGACCTCATGGAGTTATATTAAGGAACAAGTGAGATTTTTGCCTGGATAGTGCATTTGGAGATGTCCGTCACACACAATGAACTGTTCAGGAAATTGGTGTTTTCATTTGTGTTTTTTGGTGTTGGGGTTGAGCCCAGGGCCTTGTGAATATTAGGCATATCTTTGACTAGTAAGTAAGTTAAGTACCAGCCCTGTAGGTTAAAAACAAAACTAAACAACACAAAACAACACAAAACAAACAAACAAACAGACAGAAAACCCAAGTCCTCCTAACAATTGGTCAGGATCACTTTACAGTCTAGAAGCATTTTCTCCCTAGCTGAGCTTAGAGGAAGGAAACAGCATCTTGTGTTGTGGTTTGTGCTGGGAGTTTCCATGCTTACCTTCAATGTTTGTTCAATACAGTGTTCTGTGGGACCCTAGGTTTTTCCTAACTCTGAGAAAAGTAATCCACTAAATCTCTTAAGACCAAGGTAACAGCGATAGTTTACACTCTCAAAATACGATGGTGAGGTTAGCACAATGTTATTCTTTCAGCTGGAGGTGGGGGAATCTCAGATAACAATGGCCGGTAGGTACAAGACCTTGGATCTTGGTCTGGATCTTCATGGAGACTTAGGCAACTCCAGATGATTGTGTGTTTGGCCCCTAGCTGAAAATCCCCTTACCAGCTCCTCCCCACCCCACTGTGTGGAGGACCTCCTGTCCCGGTGAGTGAGTGGGTTATTGGTGGAGGGAAGGGGCAGGGACCAAAGCACCTGGGATGTGGGCGGTATCGTGGGTGCTTAGCAGGCTGGTTGAATACTTATTGTCTTCGAGATTCTGCTTGGGTTCAGGGCTCAAAGCTGGCAGCTAAGTGAAAACTGTAATCTAACACAATGGGATTTGTATCTCAACAAATGGAAAGCCAAAGTAAACATGGCCAAGACAAGGGTGTAGAGAAAGATTTAACACCTGCAAGATGTAAGGGAAACCCATACTTATTTCCCAAACAGTGACCTCTCCCAACAAAGGAAGCTTGCGGATTTTGTGTGGACGCCTATACATATTCCCATAGGAACACACTTTAGGGGTGGGCACATTCCTGAGCATGCTCAGTTAAGGTGGCAACTGAAGAAGGAAAGAGAGTAGACACTTTTTGACGGGGGAAAGTCCTTCTGTGTATATGGTTGTCTTATTGGTTGATAAATAAGGCACTGTTGGCCAATAGGGAAGCAAGACAGGTGGGACTAGGAGTTGAGGAGGATTCTGGGAAATGTAGTCAAGAGTAGAGGGTTGCCATGTGATCCAGGAGGAGGGGACGCATCATGATGGCATCCTCAGAAAGATAAGTCCTTATAAAAATATATATTAGTAATTATGGGTTAATAATTAAGTCAGAGCTAGCCATTAAGAAACTATAGCAAAAGGCCAACAGCTTTATAATTAATATAGCATCCTGTGTGTTCATTTGGGACTGACGTGGCTCTGGGACCTGGCTGGCAGGGAGAATGCACAGTACAAGTTTTTTTTTTTTTTTTGTCATGGAGTAGTGGTTAAAAGGTTAACTGTGCTGACTAGAAGGCACACCTTGTTTGCATCATGGAGTCGTAGCTGGAAAGCAAGGAAAGGCTCTTTCCTGCCTTGTGTAACTGCAGACAAAAGCAGTGTCTCTGAATTAGAGTGTCTAAAAACCAACACAGAGAGAGCATCGCCCTAAACAGGATCAGCATGGAGCTCCTGCCTTAGGTCAACTTTAGACTGTAGCTCTTTCTTTGTGGCTGTTTGTGCAAGATCAGGACTTAAAAGCACCGGTGTGTTCTTCCCTTGGCCCGTGTAGACGCCAGGGTTGAGTGTGCTCCTCAGTATTCTACACTTTGAGTTCTTAGTGAGTGACAGTTTGGTTATAGCAGTGTCTAAGCGCTGGGAGGTGGTGGCGCACGCCTTTAATCCCAGCACTCGGGAGGCAGAGGCAGGCGGATCTCTGTGAGTTCGAGGCCAGGCTGGACCGACAGCCTCCAAAACAATACAGAGAAACCCTGTCTCGAAAAACCAAAAAACAAAACAACAAAAAAAAACAAAAACCAAAAAACAAAACAACAACAACAAAAAAAACAGTGTCTAAGCATTAGAGAAGACCTTTCTGCCTGAGATATTATATAATCACGAATCACTGACCTGTCACTTAACCACAACCTCAGTCAGCATTCTGTCAATCAAAGGCTTTCATTTTGATTGTTCCTTTAACTCTTTGGGGTCGTCTCTATATTTGTGCACTTTATTTTTTATCTCTAATCATTTATTTGCTTTCATTTTATATACGTTAGTGATTTACCTGCAAGAATGTCTGCATTTGGGAATCAGATCCCCTGGAACTGGAGTTTCAGGCAGTTGTCAGCTGTCATGTGGGTGTTGGGAATTGAACCCTGGTCCCTGGAAGAGCAGCTAGTGCTCTTAACCACGGAGCCACCTCTCCAGCCCCTATTTGTGCACTTTACAATGCATTTGAGTGTGACAGTTCATCTTTACTGTTGGCTATATTCGGAACCACCTAGGAGACCGAGGAACCATCTGTGTTACCAGTTTTTTTGGTTTTCATTTTTATTTAGATTTATCTAATTAGACTTGTGGATTTGGGGCAGACCCACCCTGATTATGGGTGATACCATCCCCTAGGCTGGGGGTTGACTGCATCCCCTATCCCTGCTTCCTGACCATCATAACTTGAACTGCTCTGTTCCACCACGCCATCCCTGCCACAACGACTCACTGTTCCAAAACGGAGCAAAATGGACCTTTCTCCCCTTTCGTTGTTTCTGTCAGGCATTTTGGTCATGGCAACGAAGAGCGACACGTATTGATCACAGCAATAAGAGCAACACAACACGTTACCCCATGTATATAAGTGCGCCACACACACGTGCAACCATCACAATCCTTCTGGTCGTACGGTGATGACGTGTTTACGGAAGGCTGCTCCCCCTGCAGGTGGGAAGCACACTCAGTGTGCAGAGTGGGTCCCACAGCCCTGTGTTCATACACTCATCGGCTTCCGTCGTTTTTGAGGAGAGGTCTGCAGGGACCCGCTGCCCACCATGCTGTCTCCTCTCCAGCGACTGTCTAACGTCAGCGTAGAGCACACACTGTGTGCAGCTCACCTAGTGACCCAGGTTTGCTCCTGCCGAAGCCTATGCACACTCTTCTTGCAGCGGCTTCCCATCCTCCCACGTTTTAAATGAAGTCTTTGGGTCTTTCCAGTCCAGTTTGGGTTTTCTAGTGATACGCTCCGACAGAATTTCATTCTTTCCCTATCTTAAATCTGCCACGATGAACTCACCTCGGTGATGACCATACCCCTCCTGCCCCCTTAGGAACACAGTCTCTAAGAATGCCACCTCCCCCAATGAATGCAACAGATGCCCAGCAAATCGTGTGCGCTACCTGAAGACCACGTTAGTACTCAGGGTTAAAGCAGTACAGAGGTAAGGCGAGATCCCTGTAAACCAGCGGCGGGATGAGTCATCACTGCTCGGGAAGTTCAGCGCTGGAAGAGATAAGAGACAATGCAAGAAAACAACTCAAGTTCACAGGCAGTGCATGGTTAACTGCCAGAGAAGCGCCGACTGGAGATGTCAGAAGCGTCAGGTTCAAAGAGAGAACACTGTCCGGGGTGGGCTGGGCTGGGCTGGCTGCAGACTGTATCATCTTTTGAAATATAAAAGCCATATGTGCACAAACACATTGGAGTCCTGGAAGCTGAAATTCTTGTTCATGATACCGAGTGTAATTTAATTTTGATTTACAAGCATCTCTGGTTCGACCCTGAAGACATGACGATAATGTCATCTTCCCACATCATTCCAACACGCACGGGACCATCCTTTCTCGGGCTAGGCATCGCCTTCAGCCTTGGAGATGGGACTCTGGCTGGGTAGCAGTGACTCTCCTTAGGTCTTGCATCAGTTTTTGCTTTGCCTGGCTTCTCTTGTGATGTCTCTCATGGCTTTGTAATAAGGGACTTGTTTTCCTATAGATCTGATAAGGAGAGAAACTGCTCCTGGGGTTGATTTGAAAGTTGTGGGCTGACTTGCGGAGGCCAGCCCGACATTTATGACTGGAACCTGCGGCTATCTGAGACCAGCTCTGTCTGGATCTGCCTTGGTTCCAACACACACCCATTTATTCCACCCTGTCTCCCCATCTTCTTCCTTTAAACCATCACCTTTGCGAAGGCAGAGACCTCAACTGGGCTGCTGTCGTCCAAACCTCAGCACGCAGGCCTGGGCTTGGTGCAGGGCAGGTGCTCGGTAGCTGTGTGTTGGCTAGAGGAGGGTCAAGGGTAGGTCACGGCTGTGATTGAAAGCACAGAGGTCAGAGGCTATACCCCTCGGTTCTGGAATCTTCTTGGCTTGTAACTTCAGGTCGAGGTATTTTCCTCTATCTATACTTTCCTTGACATTTTCCAACACCAGGTGCTTGCTTGCAGTCAACATGACTGGACATGGAGTTAGAGCACTCTGGGCAGTCATTTTACCATGGGGTGGAGAGGAAGGAAAGGACGGTGGCGCTCCAATGAGTTGACTTCGGTGATGTCATGTTCTCTTCTCATCCATTGTGCAACCTTGGGCAGATCATCAGACTTCTGGGCCTTAGCTTACTCATCTGTGTAATGGGAACACCGCCAGCAGCAGTCTTTGTCCGGGGGACAGTTGTGAGGCAGTGTGGCCATGAAGAGTCCTGTAGACAATGGAATTCCTAGAGATGACCGTCATGGTGGACTCTTGCCAAGACAACTAGGAAAAGCTGGGAATTCCCACGGGGCAGTCAGCAGTGCCCATCAGGTTGGCCTTCAGATGGACTCTGAGCCCAGGAACCTGATGGGTCTAGGCTCCCAGGTCTTTGCCTTCATAAGCTTCTCTGTCATCACCATCCTTTGTCTGCCCAGCCCGATGAAGTGCCGGACCAAATGAAGCCTGCCAGCCTGAGTTATCTAGAATCACTCTGAGTTCCGGGGTACTTTACCTCAGAGTGAGGGTCAGGGACACAGAAGGGGCCATTTGGGGTAGGAAATGTTCCATTAGGAAACATCTTGAAAGGATGTCCTGCGATGGGACGGCTGTGTGAGGGCATATGGAAGGGACCCCAAGAACTAACCCTGAAATACGGAAGAATTGAGGCAGGGGAGTGGAAGCCAGGGACGGAGGGCCTTACAAAGAAAAATGATTGCATCATAGGTCTGTTAGCTTTCAGCCCAGCTAGCAGGCTCATGACTATTAATTAGCATAAACGGAAGTATAGTTAGATTGTGCGAGCATGTGTGAATGCATGGGCATATGCAGACACCCACCAGTGCCCGTGCTGAGGGAGGACTTTTACGCTGTCTTCCTCTATTGCTCTCTGCAGTATTGCTTTGAAGCAGTGTCTCTCTCTGAGCTCAAGCTCACTGATGTGGCTACAACGCCTGACCAGCAAGCTCCATGATCCACCTGTCTTATGCCTCCCCGGGGCTGCGGTTACAGACATGTGGGCCATGCCTGGCTCTTTCTGTGGGTGCCAGGGATTCAAAATCAGAAACTCAGGCTTGCACCGAAAGCACTCCTGCCCACCGAGCTATGTCCTCACCCCCTGGGTATAGTTACATTTATTTAAACTTCTAAGTACTTTTAATATTGTTGAAATAAAAGCAGTCCTATTGATCAGTCAGTTATTTTAGTAATAACCCTATGATTTTATCCATAAGACAATATGGAGACTTGCTTGTAATTTCCCGCTCTTTGCTCCTTTCCAAGTCTGTTCCAAATCACTGCATGGGCACCTGGGTATTTCTGCTCTGGAGTGCTATTTATTGTGCAGCCATCTTTTCTTTTTGTGTTATTTTGTTTTGTTTTTTGAGACAGCCTGGTTTTGGTTCTTTGCGTAGCCCTGGCTGTCCTGGAACTCATTCTGTAGACCAGGCTGGCCTTGAACTCCCAGAGATCTGTCTGCCTCTGTCTCCTGAGAGTTGTGCCCCCACTACCCACCCATGAGCCAACTTTCTTAGTCTCCATGTGAACATCTCTTGTGGTTTGCTTGTTTGTCCGTCCTGCCCACGGCCGAGATGCTCCTTGCTCTTTCATTTTGCTCTGGATCCGTCCTCTTGGCTTAGGGAGACAGAAGAACTTGTTTCCCTTATCAGTA